CGCCAGCGTACACGCTGGTGGTACTAATAATAGCAAGAAAATTATGATCTGGGTTTTATGATATTTAACAAAATGGGCTAACTAAAGGGTGAAGAAGACCACTTTTTGAGAAAAAAATCCTTTAAAATGCTGGCTGAAGGTCTGAATGTACATTTCTGAACACAACAAGCAAATGAGCATCTCAACAAAATACACAGAGCATAAAAACAAAATCTACCACTATGTGTCACTCACAAGTGTTCTTCAGACATCCAAGTGCCTAGCCAATACAAGCCAGTGTCTCAGATTTTTTTTATAAAAAGGTGTAAAAAAGAAATAATCATGATAACTAATGTGCCACCTAGCCGTCTTATATTTTCACAATGCTTTGTACATTTCTGTAGAAAAAAAAGATATAACCCACCAACCGTGCAGTGTAACTGTCCCACAGGAATTCTCTATATGGAAAAAACTAGAAATGCCAGATTCTAGCGGAATCTATATCAATATACTGGTAGATGCACTGTACAGAAGTGCTGAGATAAACAAATGGCAATGAACACTTTTTACACTGGACCTACAGGCAAAAAAACCTTCACAATTTGAGGGGATGATACACCATTGTCTTGGTGCTTGTTGGTCGCCCAAACTGTGCAGTTTGTCTCTACACGTACGACTGCCTCATGTTTGTAAATTTAAGAAAATGCTGAACTTGGACATAGGTCCCCAAAAACTGAACCACATGGGAACTTACTGGTTGGCTTAAAATGCATTATAACAATTGGATAAATTTTCAAATTTTATACATGATAATAATCCTTATTTCAAATACTTAGTAATATAATCCCTACAGTTTTATAACAAGTGAAACAGATACATCTAATATCAAATTTACCTGTCTATTAACACTGTTTGCTATCTCTAATATACTCTTAATTAAAATAATTAAAAAAAAAATCACCTAAGAAAAATCTAAACCCCTCTAGTCATTTTTCCTAACCTACTTGGATAAAATCTGTATACCATCACTAGTATTATATGATAAGCAAATGCTATAACTGATTTCTACCTACTGAAAAGAAAGTAAAAATATTGCTTTGACACTAGCAGTTCATACCAGTACTTACTAATCGTGTTCACATTCTTCATATAAAATTACCACTCTCATGCAAGAAGCCGCAACTTACTATTCTTGATTTCAAACCCATCTTATGTAAAGACTAAACGTCTTGAAAATTAAATCAATCAACAGTAATCAATCATACTAAAATCAAACATTTGGATTTTTTTAATACTATGGACTGTTAACAGTTCCATATATATCTTCCCAGAATGCAGTGCTGCCTAAGCATAAACCTCCCTACAGGTATAATAATGGGAGCCTTAGATATAAAGTGGTCATCTTTATTCTCTCTGTCACACGAGGCAGTATTAGAATGAAAAGAAAAGGTTCTTCCTTGTAGTCATTCCACATAATCTAACAAAATGAGCTCTAGCTTAATATCACATTTCACTAACAAGGTTCCCTTTCACTTAAAAATCTACATTTCAACTTTGCTTAATTATTAAACCAAACTTAATATTCACAATAAAAGTGCATCTCTTTTCTGCTCTCAAAATTTCCAGAATATTTCCATCTTTTAAAAAAATTGTTATACTGTGTAAGGGTGAATCAGCAGTCCAATGCACTTTCAAACCTTAGGTCTAACCACTAACTCTCGAGTTCTTTTTTTTTTCTTAACTTGAGCTCTTTTTCCTTCTTGAATCAGTTGCCACTTCATCAAGCAGTACCCAGAGTTCTTGGCTTTGCTACTCGCAGCCAACAAAGACCCCCGCAGCAGCCTTGTTTTTATTCTGATACCACCACTCAGCGTTTCTCCAAATACCATCCCAATTCAAAGTTTTACATCAAAATGTATTTTCTTTTGAAAGCCCAAGCCTTTTTTTCCTATCAACCTCAGCATCCACTCCATCAAACTGATCACGTTCCTTGTTTTCAATACACCCAGCTGACAGGCACCCACTGTGGAGTGGTGCATACTTCGTCGATGGCCTGTTCTAATGTACGTATGGTCTCCTCAATGTCATTATTGGCAATTTTCAAGTCAAAGTAGTGTCCATAAGCTTTCTCCAAGAGATCACTCTCTTTTGCAAGACGCTCTAGACTTCCATCCTAGAGAAGTAACATGAATATAAAAGAACAGAAATTAGATTCAAGAAACCCAAATAAAATGAAAAAAGAATAAAGACTGCATAAATAAATGAATAAATAAATGGTGCTTGATTCTAAGTCACAATATAATACATTATGCTATTAAGTTTTATCATAAAGTAATAATTAATTTTACATATTTCTTTGATTTCAGAAGAAAGGTCCAATTTTTTAGTACATTTAAAAACTCTATACACCTGGCCACAGGGGAAAAAACTATGTGCAAACAAACGTGTAAACACTCTAGTGACAAAAGGACACACTGATCACCTGTTAGACTACTGTGACATACCCAGACAGCCAATTAGGCCGCATTCAGAACAGATAATCCACAGACTAACTCGTTCACAGATCAAATATGGCCAACCCCACTTAAAAGCGATACCACCTTATCCCCTAAAGGCCTCCTGGCCTACCATAAGGACCAGGCCTACAGGGGCATTGCAAGTAATGGGATTAAATCTCGGCTCCAAGGTTTAAGTACAGGCCCCTGCAGGGATGGCGCGGGTGGAGGTGGAGAGACCACAAGGGGATAAGGTGGCTTTGCTTTTAATGGGGTCAGCCATATTAAGTCTGAGGATCGGTTAGGCCATCTATTGTGAATGAGACTTTAGAATCCCCAGGAATGGGATATTCACAGTTAAAAATAGGGGGACAATTTCAGCGGTTACACCACTTCCATTGATAACGGAAAATTATCAGAAACAGCTTGAATCTAAACCCATTCATTTAATAGAATGTAATTAGCCCAGTTGGTGCTCAATTAAAATTATGTAAGTAGTTTCTAAGGAAGTATTCAGATCCCCATCCTATGCCATGAATTTCATCAGAAAAAAAAAANATACTACAAAAGGGGAAAACTCGGAGGACCGAAGAACCTTAAGTGCCTATAACGGGGGGAGAGAACACACATGCATCGTGAATAATCAGTTACCACACGACAAAAACTTATGTTAAACACCAATGTCCTTGCAAGCTGTAAAATGAAAAGAAAATGACATCAAACATCAATAAACAAGTACTTTGTATCCCCAAACCCAAGACCCACTGTGAGAAAAAAAAAATCCCAAACATTCTTCTTCATCCTATTTTATTTAACTTAGATTTTGGAAAAGATTCCACTGAAGCACTGGGGATGGGCAGGCCTCAAACAAACCCTTAGCAAAATGAAAAGTTTGTTGCAACATTGCAGCAATATCAATTGCTACTGATTTTGCAGCCATATTGCAGCTAATTTGCTGCAAATTTGCAAGAAGGAATGGCAGTTTGAGGTCTGATATTTTGCCAAGGGAACTGCTCTCCTAGATGGGACAGGTCCATATTTCATCATCGCCCCCACCCCCCTCTTTCCAACTAGATGACCCCAGGTCTAAGAGAGAAGATGTTACTTGTTTAGAGATGATACGACAACATTTAGTATGGGTGTAGCATGGTACCCTCTTTTAAAAATAATATAAAAACTCCTTAGTAATCTTATTGTTCTCAGAAGATACTAAAACAAAAAAGAATGCCCTTATTTATCAACAATTTCATCTACACCCCCCTCAAAAAAAAAAAAAAAAAAAAAAAAATTATTGTCAATTGGTGACAATGGGGTACCATACAACAACCCAGAGAACACCATTACAGTATTACAACATCAAATACTAGCTATTAGTACCTGTTTGAGGAGTGGATGGGAATGAGTCGCCATTCCAAATAAAACAATCTGAATATAAAATCCGAAATCTAGTGGTTCGACAATCCACTTGTATTTCCGTAGGCTCTCTTACCGCAATCAAAGAGTCCCTGTCCCCCAGTGTTCTCTGACTTGCCCCCCCACCTTACCCCCACCCTCACTCCACTCCACCCCATTCCTCAAGCAAATACTCCACAAGTGCACCACACCTTGTGCATCACAACAATTAGGGGGTCACAAAACAGCATCTACAAAGGAAGAAAATAAAGGGGGTGGGGATTTGCTGTTTTTGTTGCTAGGGTTACAGTTGCCATAGTAACAGTTGCCACAGCGATGACACAGTGATCATATCTGTTTACCTCATGAAATGAAATCATGTCCGGAGCAGCTATAAATACTACAAAGGGAAAAAACTCTGCAATGCGCAGAACTTTCAATGCCTGGAAAAAGATAAGTCAACTTTTATTAATATGAGAAAGAACTTATGCATGTTTTTCTAAAAAATAAAGTAATTTTTCTTCAATATAAAGAATCTCATGGGTGCTCATGATCGTGAAAAGAATAGGAGGTTCAGATAAAAGACTGGCTCTGATGGATGGCCTCTCTTTGAACACACTGCTTACGATAATATGATAACACAAAAATAAGGCTAAATATAAGTGTGGGACCAATAATGCAGACACATATTATACTGAGTTGAAAAAGATGTTCAAGGATTCCATGAAACTGTTTAGAGGCATTACACAGGCTAGGAATCAAATTACAGTATTTGAAATAAAATAAAAGAAATTCTATTAGGAAAAAAATTAAATATTCAAGTGAATATATGTAAATCATTTTCTTCTGTTGATTTACCTTTACCAATAGTGCAATCTGTATATTATCACCATATTCAAAGGGTTCAAACATTACATGTTTATAAATAAAATGTACGTAATGATGTAAATTATGTCAGAAATAGTACTTTTACTCAGAGCTTCAAACCAAACATCAAGTAATGGGTTCTCTCATTCTTTGCTGCTGAAATATTTATCTCACTATCTCACAAAGTCCTGCCATCACTTAAATTTCTCAGCAGTTGTCCACAAGTTAATCTGAGCAGTGCAAAAACAGTGATGAATATCTTCCATAATTCATAATTATTTTAATCACCTGAGGTTCGACGTCTAATATCGCCATAAGTCCCTGGTCATGTATTTGACGAATTGTTTCCAGTTTCGTCCCATACATGGCATCTTCGTGGGTCCCGTATTCCAAGTACTCATTGTTGGCAATGTCCCGCATCATCTGCTCATGCGTCACAAAGAAATAGTTTTTGCCATTTTCTTCATCTTTTTTGGAGGACCTGGTCGTATCTGAAAAAAAGAAAAAAAAGATAAAATTTAAAAATTAAGATTTATACTTGACATCAAGAAATTCATATTTCACCTATACGTTAAACACTAAGCTATGAAGAGCACTGTATAAATAATGAATGCTTTTCAATAAGAAAAAAAAAAAAAAAAAAAAAAAAAAACATATTGGGGTCCCTAACAAGTTCATAACATTTAATTACTAAATTCAAAGACCTTTTTTTTCTGTTAATATGTAACTACACACAGCTTAATTGTGTATCATTACAGAGGATACATTGTATACAATCATTGTAAAACACTAAAAAAATGATGAAAAACATTGCAAACCAAATTTGGTGTTATGGGTAATGCACATTATTCCACCGGAATCCTTATTATTATTTTGACAAATTTTAATGAGAATAGTTGTGCATGCAAATGTGACAAAGAAACATTTCTTGCCATTTTCTTCACTTCTCTTGCATGCCTTAGTAGTGTCTGTAATACAAAAAGAACAACTCCTACTACTATCAACAGCTCTATATCACTACTAGATGTGGTATTTAGTAGACTTTGAATTTATATTGAAAACATTTAATATATTATTGTAACTTTTAACGTCAAACATTAAAACTAACAGGCAATTGTCATTGTT